AAAGTATTGTTTAATTTAAAGATATTTAAAGATATCACTTTTAATGATTTTTAACGTGGTTTCAAATTAAAATTAATTACAATGCAGTACTTTAAAATATGATATTGAGATAATTTAACTTTTAACGACATATGCATATTTTATAAAGTTACATTTACTTGCATTACACAATAAAATCTTATAACAAGGCCTATGTACAAATTTTATCTATTTATTTTTATCTAAATTTTATAAATGTTATATATTTATTTGCATAATTATATACAAAAATTTATTGTCAAAAAATATACCTCTTCTATCTATTTCCCAGATTTTAACTTTTCGATCTGAACCACCAGTTACAAAGTATTTTCCAGAAGGACTAAAACGCACTGTCATGACTTCTCCTTCATGGCACTCCTATTTGACATTAAAAAAAAAAGAAATTTGCATTTAATGAAAACGTGTAATATAATTACAACAACAATAGAAATATACAAGCCTGCAAAGTAGAATAAAACCAGAAAGTTTGATATCCTTTTTCCAAATTTTTTTCCTGCAAAAATTACATAAGTGTCACAGTTGCTACACTGTAGAGTGTTTCAAATACGTTGTTTAGTTACAAAACTATGCATGCATTTAAATGAGTTGTTTAGTTACAAAACTATGCATGCTGCATCTAAATAAGCTGCTTAGGCACAAAGCTATTTAAATGAGATGCACATTACAGAACTACAGATGCTACATTTAAATGAATTGCTTAGTCACAACTATAGATATATATTTATATATAAACCATAACAAAGAAAACATAATAACACTAATTAATGATCATTAATGCTAATTAATGATAAAATACTAAATTGCATATCTTTAAAAGTACATTTGACTCTTTAAAAACTGTTCTACTGATTTTAAAAGATCATTTTATTTAACAAACCAAGTTTGTTTAAACAGAAAACCAAGTTTGTTTAAGAACAGAGTTTGTCAATAAAAAAAAACTCTGTTTGTACAATTTATAAAGATTTGTTATTTCTTTTCAAGGTGAATAGTAAAAGAGAAATACTTAGCATCCTTTCCGCTAAATATCTGTATTAGTCCTTAAACAAGATCTTTTTAAGATCTTGTTTAAGGACTAATAATAATACTTAGTATTAGTCCTTAAACAAGATCTTACCAAACCTTTTAAAAATGCTTTGTGTAGAAAAGATAAATGTTATATAAAAAATTGAATAAAAGAAGCTCCTCTTTATTCTTATATTAACAGAACTTACTGTTGATTGTGTGGGTCGATCTGGGACAGAAGTTAAGCAGATCATTCCTAGGTTAGAATAGCTTGAAGATCTCTTACCAATTTCAGGGCTCAATGATCTAAAAAATAATTAAAAAAATGTAAATTTTTTTTTTTTCATGTTTTAATATATATTTAAAATTTTACAATTATATAAAAAAAAAACATGTATGGACATTAAGGTTGTTCATAGAAGCAATTTTTTTGAATTCTCCAACCTCCTAAATTTGTTTAATATAATAAAATAACACTGGATTTAAAAAATCTTTGAATAAAAAATATTCTTAGAAGATCATACAAACCTTATTGAATACTAAATGGGTTTTTAATACAAAAGTATATTATGTTATGTTAATGGGTTTTTAGCTTAAAAATAATTTGTTATAAAAAAAAAAATGTAAAATGAATATATTTTTTTTAAATATAAAAAACCTTAGTTTTTATCCAATCAAATCTAAAATGATCATTTTGTATGAAATAATTATTATTTTTGAAATTTTGATATAATTTTTCTTTTTTTGAGATTCAGGTTGAACTTTTTTTAAAAAAATATTAGGGACCCAATAAATATTCAAAGGTCTTGAGGAACCGCTAAAAACATTTTTTTATTTTCGAAATCTTTAAACACAGTCCTTTTTTATTATATTAAACACATTTAGGGGGTTGAATCAAATATTTTAAAAAAGCTGCTTTTACTAACCATCCAAATAAACTTTTTAGTATACACAGTATACATTCAAATGCATCATATTAAGGGTTAAGAAAAACAGAAAAATAAAATGTTCTCTCCTTCCAATAAGATGGTTGTGTCTAGTTTTACTAATTAGCTTGCGAAAATTTGATTTAAAAATCTGCTAGCTAAGTTGTATAATCTAAGTATTACAGATTAATTTTTAATACCACCCACAACCACCACCAATCTTTATAAGTTCAAATATTTTATAGCCATAAAAATCATGCATACAAATTATAACTATTTAATGTAAGTATTTAATGATTTGTTTTATTTATTATACAGGTGATAGAAAAATAGGTTCATTTGCTGCATCGATCAATTCTTGTTGAAGCTTTTGTTGCCTCCTACTAAAAAAACAAGTTAAATAATTACTGAAATGTAAAAAAAAAAAGTAAAGAGTACGATCTGCTGAATTAATAATACCTAGCCAAAACTTCATTTTGCATGTTAAGAAGATCTGCTTCTAATGCTTTTTGATGCATACACCTTTGTACTTAAAATAAAATGGAAGTTTTAAAATAATTGTTTTTGTGCACACGCACAAATACACACAGATGTGTATTTGTGCACACGCACAAATACACAGAAATACACAAATATTGGCAAAGTAAACAGATCATGTGTTTTTTAAATTTATTATTTTTAAATTTATTTGAAAATTTTAATTTTAAAGCTAATTTTATATATATACCATTATTGTCTATTGACTTGTTGTGCAAGCTTTTGATTAGTGATTACAAAAAATAACAGTAATCTCAAATGAATAATCTAAAACAAAAAGTCTGTTGAGGAGAATTAATGAGACAGACTTTGAATCCAAGAAATGATTGAGGACCTGTTGAAGTGACTCATTGTACAAGCGGTTTATTAGAACAAATAATAATCTGAATAATAATAATAATCTTAAATGACTAATCTAAAACTAATCTAAAACACTAAGTCTGTTATAGAGAGTTAATGAGACAAAACTTTGTCTCATTAACTCTCAGAAAATTTTAAAATAGTACTGCTTGAAACATTTTTGAATTCAGAACAGATGGTTGTTATTGCAGGTAGTAGGTTGTTGCCTAGTTAAACATACAGTGCAAAGACAAGATGCTCACGCAGGTGTCTATTAAATTTTAAATAAAAAAAAAGCTCTGTAACAAATTTTTTTAGTTGATACTGATGTCAAGGTAAAAATTACAAAAAAACAATTTGTATTTTTTAATTTAACTTTTTTAGAAATAATTATCTTATTAAACATTTTTTATCTATTTAGTGATTTTTTTGTTTACATTTTATTTTTGACCCTTTAGTATTTATTATCATTTCTTATCATAATTTTTTTTGTTTTACCTAAATTCAGAAAAAAAAAAAATAACAGGTTAGTTTGAAATATTTTTCCTTTGGATTGATAACTACAGCTTTGTTGACAAAATCATTTTTTTTCACATACTTTAAAGATAGAATAATTTTAGTAACTTTTTAACATTTTTTCTTAATTTAGAACACATGTAATACATTTTTAAGTAATACATGCTTGCATGTATTACTTAAAAAATTGTGTGTATTGCAAAGTTCTAATTTGAAATAATAATATACACAATGAAGAATAAACATTCAATTTTTATTCTCATGTTTATACTATTGCATATAACTTTAAGTTAAATTCAACTTACCAACTCTTGGTATTCAAACTGAAGATTTTTATACTTTTCTTCTGTTGAATTGCAAAGCATTTGAAGAGCCTGGTGCTCATCCTTAATTGCCTATTCAAATAAATGTTTTTTATTCTTAACATGTTTCCTTTTTTACATTTTCAAAAGATTTTACAACAAAAATAACAAACTCTTGAAAAAATATTTAAAATAGAAGACTTTACAGAAAAAATTTAACAGACAAAAATATACATAATGACTCCATAAATAGCCAATCAATATCAACAAAATAAAATAATAATAATAATAATAATGATAATTAATAATGTTTAAATTATAAATTAAAATTATAAATTTATAGTTTATAGAAATAGTTTATCCCATTTTTTAACTAAATAATTAAACTAAATTTATTTAAGAACAATTAAACTTTCACAACAACAACATAGAAACAAGGTTGGCAAAAAATTATTAACCTCTGACACTATTAGGTTCACAATTAGGCTGACATTGAGTAATACTGAACTAACTTTAAAAGCACTCGTCAAAAGTGTTTTTATTAATCAAGAATGTTAGAAGATCACAGACGACCAGATATCGCTCTAGTTTTAACCATCAAGCGATATCAAAACAATATATAGATACTATTATCCACAAATGTTGCAGAGTATTGCTTCCAGTTTTTTAAATATTAAACAATTTGTTTTATAACCAAAAGTAAAGAAATTCAGAGGAAACTTAAATTTATTCAATAAGATTCATAAAATAGATCACTTAATGATATTGACAAAAGCACTCTAGAACAAGAGAAAATTGACAGAAAAGCCCACTTCAAGGTGTAGTTAAGACAATTTATAAACTATTCAAATTTTTGATTTGAAATTAGCATGATTTTGTCAGCGTATTATATCCAAACAAAAGCTTTAGATGCTACAATTGTTTTTGCTTTAAGTTTTTATAATGTTTAAAGAAACTTTTCTCCTTTTTTATACTACTTTCAAAACTTTTTTATTACCCATTATTGTGAATTTAAAGAACACCAATTTTGAGTCTTTAAATCAATTCTGTTTAACAGCATTAACTAAATTTTAATTTAAAAATTTTGAAAAAGTGCTTCAATCTACTAAAGATCCTAGCTCTAATCTGTTCTAGTGCATATTAATTGAATATTTAATGTTGTTAATATTTATAAGAAAAGATAAATTTTGCAAGTCCTATAGTGTTTTATAATCATAAAAATACTCAAATATAACAAAATACTCAAATAAAAAGCTGCTTGTTGTCTTCATATATGATTGCAAAAAAAAATGTTGTATAGCTGCTGCAGCAAAAGCAAGGGCTACTTTGCAGGACTTGGGTTAATAAATAATGGTTAAAAAAGTATAGACATTGACCAAATGATAAGTACTCAAAAAAAATAAAAGAACAAGAAAAAATGCATTCAATGTATTAAGTCCGTTAGGACATGATAATCAAAAAATACAACCTATTTTTATAAAATGGTTACTACTTTCAGAAATAGAAGAGCAATACTCAAAATTTTGTGGGTGTTTAACACTAGAGCACAGTACTATAGGATATATTGTACTTGTACAGTACTTTAGGGGATATTGTAGATATTAAACATAACGAACAAATTAGGAATTTAATTGAACTTTATATGTATATGAATAAAATGTTTTAAATACTGAAGATAATAAATAAAATGGTGTAAATTTCATTGATGGATAATAAAAAACAAGATCACTGCAATGTTAGTTTCCTTTTTCCATGATAACAAACTGTTGCTATGTAACAAATATACCACTATTTTCTTACTTTAGATGAAAAAACTAGTGGTCTTAATCAGTTTAAAGGAGAACCAGGTAAGCAACTGCAAAACCCCTAATGAAAGCCTCTAATGGCAAACTGTTATTAAGCCCCTAATGACAAAACTGTATTTCCAATTATTTACCTTAATAATTAATTAATAAAACATTAGTTTTGTATTGTAATAATAATTGTATATAATTGTAATAATGTAATAATGTAATAATAATTGTAATAAAATAAACAATAGTTTTGTATTGTAATAATAATTAATTAATAAAACATTAGTTTTGTATTGTAAATAAAACATAGTTTTGTATAATAATTAATTAATAAAACATTAGTCATCCCTAGCTGTCTGTGGATCATCTTTAAGAGAAAGTTTTATTAAAGCAAAAATTGTATTTAAAAAAAAAAATGCTAAAACTTGATACAAAAAAAACATTTCAATATGTCACACTAAAAAGCAGTAAAAAGCATATGTTAGAAACATTGAAAATCTTATCAATTACTTGAATGATACAAATTTATTTATTCTTATTTTTTACTATTTTTTGTAGGAGGTAATAAACAAAAATAGTACATTAATAAATGTAAGAGATAATAAACCATTTACTTTGTTACCAAAGCATAAAGAAATGATAAAAATTGAGAAAAATACGTATTTGTAATAAAGACTTTTTGTTATTGGATATTTTATGAAAATTGTTTCTTTTCTTAGTTTAATTAAACATTAATGTTACTAATTTCACAGTAAGAGTATGTTAAGATTTAAAAAACATACAACCAAATTTCATCGCCTACACTACAGAAGTGCAGAAAAATAGATATAAAAAGTTTTGCGTTTTATATATGTATCTATATAAAGATAGATATGTATATAAAACACAAAAAAATTTAATTTTGCAATTAGATTTTTTTGCGTTAATTCGAGCCCTGCATATATTATATATTTTTAATTATTATTATCGAAAAAAAAAACATTTATTTAAAATACTAAAGAATTTTGCATTCGTTCTGGTTCTTTCGCGTATCTCAAATTTTTCGTAGGTGGTGGACCCCCTAAATTAACTCAGATTTGTAAAAAACAATTCTTTGATATAAGGGCATTGGATGCACCCTTATATATATATATATATATATATATATATATATATATATATATATATATATATATATATATATATATATATATATATAAACATATATATATATATTTATATATATTTATATATAAATATATATATATATATATATATAAATATAAATAAAAACATATATATATATATACACATATATATATATATATATACATATATATATATATATATATATATATATATATATATATATATATATATATATATATATATATATATATATATATATTCTAGATATATATATTCTAGATATATATATATATATATATATATATATATATATATATATATATATATATGTATATATATATATATATATATATATATCCAGAATATATATATATATATATATATATATATATATATATATATATATATATATATATATATATATATATATATATATATATATATATATATATATATATATATATATATATATATATATATATATATATATGTGTATATATATATATATATATATATATATATATATATATATATATATAAGCCATCATTTACAAATAAAAAAACTTTTAAATGCAATCCTCTATCAAAATATATATGGGAAAATAGGGAAAAACTGAAAGAAACACAAGAATTAACTTGGTTTATCCTAAAAAGTCCCTGCTTACAACAATACAAAAATAAATGTTTACTTTGTTTATATCAAAAACTATTAACTTAATCTTCATAAAAATGCTTCATAAAAACGAATTTATTTTCAAATGTTGTCACAAAAATAAATTTTAATTAAGCAACCACAAACTTAAAGAATACACGTAACAATAATTTTTTCAGTATAGTTTCAGCTGTATGTATATTTCAAACAAACAAAATATATTTGTATTTCACTAGATGATTACAACAACATGAAACTTAAAG